GAGGTTAGCCCAAAGCGTGAGAGCCACCAGCGAGCTGTTATCTGCGGCTGAAGGCTGTGGTAATCGATGGGTTATTTTTACGCGGTAATAGGGCCCTGTGATTGCTCTATTAACCTTTAGACCTGTCTCGGGGACTCTCCCCTCACAGCCCCGCTGAGCCAGGGCCCACAGGCCCTGACGCCGACCCCGAATTCGGGTCTGACACCCTCCCCGCCCCCATTCTAGGGAGGGAACTCCAGCCCCAGCATGGGCTCCTGAGGTTGGAGGCCAGGTTCCCCAACCCCCCACTTCGTCCTTTTGCTTGGACCCCCGGCCGCTGGGGGCTCCGGGGAGAACGGGGACGGAAGAGAAGGGGCGGGAGGCCGCAGGAGTTGGAAGCCGTGTCGGCAGGGGTGAGCATTGTTGTCTAAATACATAAACTCCCGGGCTGGGGGCCGGATCTCGGCGCCTTTCAGTCTCCACCGGCTGGTGGGGAGGAGAAAAGGCCGCTTGCGTCCTCCAGGCGCTGACCTTAAGGTCCAACTCAGCTTGTTTAGGGCCTCCTGACCCCTCTCTCAAGCGCCCTTCAAGGGCCCCGTAGACCCGAGGCCGGCCAGGCACCCCGGGTGCCCCGGTGGCCCGCAGGCCACCAGGAGCCCAGCTCTGGAGGTCACCTTCTCCTCTGCCGGACCCGCCCCCCCTCTTGCCCACCGCGGCTGGACCCGAACCCCTGAGGGGCGGGGGGAGAGGGAGGAAAGACTAAGAAACTGGTGAATAAACGAGATCCTCGGAGGGGCAGAGAACCGCGGGAAGGTCGGGCCGCGCACGGTGGGCAGAGCCGGGCGTCGGTCCCCGGCGCTCCAGCGCCCGGAGGGATCGGCGAGCCTGGACTTTGGCTGCTCGGGGAAGCTCGGGGGAACAGCCCCGCCGGGCGGTCCTGCCCCGCGGAGGTGCAGCCGGGGCCGCGCACCCCCGCCCCCCGCCCTTGCACGTGACTCTCCTAGGCCAGTCAGCGCCGGCGAGCGCTGCGCGGGGCCCGGGGACCGCGCCGGGAGCAGGGGACGAGCCCGGGGCAGGCACAGTGGCCGCCGGAGGCTCCGCCGCCGCCGCAGCTCCGCGGGCTCCGGGGGATCTCGCCGGCTCTCCGGGCGGCTCGGGCTGGCCAGGTAGGCTCCCTCGACCTCCCTGCTCCTCCCCGGGGCTCACCGTCCCGCCGCCCTAGTCGGTCCGGAGTTAGGGAGGTGGGTAAACGGGAAGGGAAGCGCGGGTCACCCCTGGGCCCCCAGACTGGCTGGAGACGGCTCGGCTTTTTTGACTTTGGCCTAGCAGGGACTTTACATGCAGAGAGACTGCTGAGGGACCAAACCGATGGGTTCTCGCGAGGTGCGTTTGGCTTGTTTGCGGGGGACTCGGACGCTTTTTAATCTGCCTTGTTGGCAGATTCTCCAGTTCTGTCTTGCGCCCCGCCAGGGCCCGTGTAATCTATCTGACTGACTGACCTGGGTCAGGCCGCATAGCCCGCACACTTTGGGGGCGCATGGGGGGGGGGTCTCCAGCCTGTGAGGCAGGGAATGCAGAGCGGCGGTGGCGGGCAGCCGGGGAACTTGGGGGAGGTCTGGAGGCGCTCGGAGGTAGGTTCCGCGTCCCCCGGACCCTTGCTGCTGTCTGGCCCACCTCCCCAAACTCCAGGCTGGGGCCCGCGAATTGCGTGCGTCCAGCACTGCTAGCTAATGCCCATCCACGGGACCTCCAGCGGACATCTGGGGGGGTGTTCCTGGCCAGCCACCTCTAGCTCCCTTCGGTCCGCATATTATATCGCTTGGATGTGGCCTGGGAGTGAGTGGGCAGTTGTTACTCTTGGAGGAGAGACGTCTAGGTGGTGAACTTTCACCAGGTGGGAGGAGAAAAAAAGGGGCTTTTTAGACGAAAGGAAGATGGGAGCGAGGGACCCGAGGTAGGGGCCGACCTAGGGCAGCAAGGCCGCGCTGCTGGGAAGCACCTCGGGGATTTATTTCCTGTACCTTTGGCAAAGGGGGGCAGCCAGAAAGGACGCTTCGGACATTCAAAGACGGAAAAGTTGCATGGAAGAGGCTGGACAAGCATCATTCCTGAGGGCTAGTGGATAAGTGGGTGGGTAACCGTTCTCAGCGTGGCGAGACTAGGGAGACCGCAAGAGCCGAACAGAGAGAGACCCGTGAAAGGACACATGCCAGCGCGTTTCATTCTCCAGCTCGCAAAAACGGGTTCCAAAAGGGATGTGGGCTGAATCATGAGAAGAGAAAGTATTTTCTTTCTGTTTAGGAACTTGGGGTGAACTTTGTAGAGCGAGAAAAGCCTAAGGCGGACTAGACCTGTGTGAGAATCTGGAGGTCACGGCGCGCCTCCCCCCCATCACAGACAGGCAAGAATCCACCTAAGGGAACAGTTTCTGGCCTTTCCAGAAACAGAGGAGTATCATCCCCACCTTCTATTGTTTTAGCAATCCAACTTCAGGTTAAAGTATCAGCCATTCGAAACTGCAGAGAGCCTTTGCCCGCAAGCTTGAGATACCAAACTGGTATTTGTGCTTGCATTTTTCAAGCTTGCAAGTCAGCACCACCAATATGCTGTAAGTTACAGTTCTGAATGCCAAATCTCTTCCTTTAACTGCAATTAGTTGAGAAAAAAAATTAATTACTTTTAAAAAAGAACAACTTCCTGAGTCGAAAGTGCAATTAATTAGGCCGACTACTTGATTTAAAATCTGCATATCTGCTTATCGGAGCCCAGAGATTTCTAGGAAGTTTTAAACTTTGTGCCTTTCTTTTTTAAAGGGAAGAGTTGCTGACCTCAGGTCAAGTTTCTTTTATCCATCCTCCAGCCAAATTTGCTGGAGGGAAATGTCCAACCACCAAGCCAATAGTTTATTGTATTGCTAGAGGGAAATGTCCAAACACCAAGCCAATGGTTTATTGTATATTTTGAAAAGGTAAATACTAAACAATTTATCAGTCACCACATGGCTGCATACTTTATAACAATTGCATTATTGCTGATGGAAAAATTGTGAAAAACAATTAGTGTGTATATAAATGCCCTGTTCCAGAACCTCTCCAGTAATAAAGATGGTAATTTATTGTAAGTATAGATTACATCCCAGGTACCCTTGCGATATATTAGAAATCTGTGATAATAGCTGTTATGTCGAAGTGTGTGCCTGTTGTAATAGGCTTCTAGGATCTGGTTATGAATGCTTTGCGTGTATTAAATTATAATTGTCAGCCAGCCACAGCCCTCCAATGACTATAAGACACAGGTACCCTTTATATTTGCACACTACAGATGAGGGAATGGGGTGTTTAAAGTTATTTATTCAGCGAATGGCAGACCCTGGGTTTGTATCTAGTTTATTTAATATTATTGCAAGTGCATTGTTCACTAAAATAGAAACCAATTCAAAGAAGCTGCCTGTTCTTAAGGACAAGTGTAAGTGTATTGGAAATTTCAAATACTTAAGGCCCTGCAGCACCGGCTCCCCTTCAAGTGTACTTTGATCTTCAGCAAGTTCCCTCTTTGGTGGAATAAGGAAATTTAGACACCTTTACTTAGTGAAGGAACAGATAGAAAGGCTTGAAACAACAGGAGTTTTAGAAAAATAGAAGCACCCCTCCCCCGCAACACACACACACACACACACACACATACACCATATTCTCCGTTAATGCCAAAATACAGGATGCCAGAAAGGATACGTTCAAGCACCAAGACTCCGTTCTGCTTTGGCGGATCAATTCCACAGGGAAAAGCCAGCCCAGCCCGCGAGCTTGAGCGCTTGCTTCCCTGTTCTGTAACATGACCTTGTTCCTCCGGCCTGCTTCTCTGGTCCCCACATACAGTCTGCAAAGTGTTTAAAATGTAACTATTTGCAGAAACGTGTGGCCTGTCTGATTTGACACCCACATGGTGCACAGTACATTTAAGGAGTTTCACAATCCTTTTTAGGGTTTCGCCGACACTTGCTCACTTATAAACATTTAGATTCTACCTCTAGGCGTTCTTTTTTAGCATTACAAACAAAACATTTGTAGGTCGCTGGTTTTTATAAAGTTTGTCATCGGCCCCGCCCAATCTACAGTTCTTGTTTGGCCGAGAAAAAAAAAATGTCTGAGGAGAGGTAGGGAAACAATTGAAAAGCAAAAACAAAACAAAACAAAACAAAAAAAAAACCATAGAAATCTTTTGAGTCCCAAGCCTTCTTCGGGTAGACTACTTAACAGAAAACTCAGACAAAAAAGAAGAAGAAGAAAGGGGAGGGGGCTTGGAGAATAAGGTAAAAATAAAATCCTTCCTGATAAGCAATATAAGAATAATTGGCCCAGATCACAGCCAAGAACTCCAAATCCCTTAGGTCGCCCTTCAAGACCCTGGCAGCCTGACCCGGACAAAACAAAAGGCCTCGGCTTCAGGCTGTTCGGCGCTCTCGGAACCTAGGCGAGGGAGGAGGTTTCGTTTGCTGTGCGGCAGAAACCTCAGAAAAGGGGTCCAGGGCCCTGAGAGCCCCGTGGTGAACTTTCTCTCACCCTTGCTGTCATTTCTCCTCCAGGACTGCCGCTGCAGTGAGGGGAAGGAGCCTTCTTCGTCCTTCGTCCTTCGCCGAAGCCCGGCTGGAGCCAACAGCTGCCCCTGGGTGTGCAGCAGGAGTAGGAGCCCCGGGTCTGTGGGTGACCTGAAGCCCTGGCCAAGCCTCGACGGCGCCCCGGGCACCTCCATTCTCCTTGCCCTGAGAGTGGAGTCGGCCCTCGCGCGCGCACTACCTTCTGGAGCAACCACAAATCCAACCGATTTCTTTTTTACTTTTTTCCTGAGTGAACCCAGAGCCTAGAGACTGCTGCTCGGATGCTGGATTTACCTTGTGTCTAATTTGAACAAGCCGGGCCTCTCCCCCACTGATTTTTCATCTCCGTCATTTTTTTTTTGTTGTTGTGGGGGGGACGGTTGCGTACAGCTGCGTCCGAACCCCTGTCGCTTCGGTCTGCTGTGCCCGCCAGCCCGCGGCTCCTTCGCCTGCCGAGGGAAGGGAGGACACCGACGGACGCCCAGAGCTCGGGGGAGGCGGCGATGTACCAAAGCCTGGCCATGGCCGCGAACCACGGCCCCCCGCCCGGTGCCTACGAGGCGGGCGGCCCCGGCGCCTTCATGCACGGCGCGGGCGCCGCGTCCTCGCCGGTCTACGTGCCCACGCCGCGCGTGCCGTCCTCGGTGCTCGGCCTGTCCTACCTGCAGGGCGGAGGCGGGGGAGCCGCGTCCGGATCGGCGTCGGGTGGCGGCTCCGGGGCCGCCCCGTCCGGAGCCGGCCCCGGGACCCAGCAGGGCAGCCCGGGATGGAGCCAGGCCGGGGCCGAGGGAGCCGCCTTTACCCCGCCGCCGGTGTCCCCGCGCTTCTCCTTCCCGGGGACCACTGGGTCCCTGGCGGCGGCCGCCGCTGCCGCCGCCGCCCGGGAAGCTGCGGCCTACGGCGGGGGCGGCGGGGCGGCGGGCGCGGGCCTGGCCGGCCGCGAGCAGTACGCGCGCCCCGGCTTCGCCGGCTCCTACTCCAGCCCCTACCCGGCCTACATGGCCGACGTGGGCGCGTCCTGGGCGGCCGCCGCCGCCGCCTCCGCGGGCCCCTTCGACAGCCCGGTCCTGCACAGCCTGCCCGGACGGGCCAACCCTGCCAGGCACCCCAATCTCGGTGAGTACCCCCGAGGGGCCTGGAGCCCCGTCTGATGGTGGTGGTGGTGGTGGTGGTGGTGGTGGTGGTGGTGGTGGTGGGCATTCGACTTTCCCAACTCGGTGGATGCCAGGGGCCTTCCAGGGAGGCGGCCCGGTTGGAGGCTCCCGGCGGTGGGCCGTGCACCGAGGAGGAGGGCCCTGGCCGCCGCTCCAGCAAGGCCCCTCTGTAAGCGGCGGGCTGGCCTGTGCGGCGTGGTGGTGACAGCGGGAGGTGCTGGGTTCTCTAGGGTCGGCTGGAGCAGCCTGGCGGTCTGCTACCTGGGATTCAGCCCCCATTTCCTCTGCCCCTTCCTCCGAGGCTTCAGCAGACCTGCGCCATTTGGCAGCCAGGTTGGAGGAGCCCTGGGGGCGGGGGAGGGGTGGCAGATGACTTTCCTGTGGGGGGTTTTCACAGCGGAAATAAATGAGGAGATCAGCCAAGGAGACCGCCCGAGGAGGTGGGTTAAAGTGGAGCCTAGCCCAGCCGCGTCCTCGGGCCGCACTGTGGGGTCTCATGGTGCCAGCTCTGCTGGTCAGATACCTTAGGGCAGTGCCCGGGGACAGCGCAGAGGGGCCTTCTCTGTAACGCCTGAATTAAATGGAGACTTTGTAGGGCCGCCTCATCTCGGGAAGGCCAGGTTAGCGACAGTGGCCAATGCTCCTATCCAGGAGGACCAGCGAACTTGCCCACTCACCAAATCTAAACACTGAACTAACTTTTAGAAGGGCTCTGGCTGCTTGGACTGGGGGTGGGGGTTGCTGTCCACGCGCGCAAAGCGCCAAAGACCCTGTCGGTAGAATTTCTGGAAAAGAGTGAAGGCAGAGTTTGGATGGAGCTGGCTCTTGGGGGGAGGGAGGAAGCACAGACTTGAGAAACAAAGTTAACATTCATTGACTACCTACTAAGTGCTAAATCCTTCTGCGTTTGCTGTCACTTTGAAGAGTAAAGTCTGTCCCTTGCCGCTCCCGGGGTTAGTTTGTCTTCTGAGTAGAGGCTCTGGCTTTGAAGAGGTTTAAAGTTATTCTCTGGCCCCGGGTGGCCAGGGAAGGCCCTCCCCAGGAGGGGGGAGGGTCTAGCCAAATATACATCGAAGGTAAACTGATTAACAGTGGAAGTGGCGCCAGGGCCGGGTTTGTGGCTACCAATGTCCTCCTCCCCTGCAGGGCCAAGTAGACTGTACCCAGGGAAAGGAGGGTCAGCTCACCAATTCGGCTCAGACCTTTGAGACAGAGCTGGGTGCTGGCTTCCGTATGGCGGAGGCTGGATGTGGGGCGGGGGTGGGGGGGGGAGCCTCTGGTCTGCATCCTTAGCAGTGGAATTTCCCCCCTCCCTCCGACCCAATCCAGCTCCTAGTTTAAAATAAGAAGGAATAAACTGGTGTGATGCCACGCGACTGTAATTTCAGAACGGGGAGGATAGCCAGGGGTGCATAGCAGACCCAGTCTAATTTAGATTTATTTTTTCATGTATATGAGTGCTCTCTTTGCATGCATGTCTTCATGACAGAAGAGGTCATAATTGTGAGCCACTGGGTGGTTGCTGGGAAGAACTCAGCACCTCTGGAAGAGCAGCCAGTGCTTTTAACCACTAAGCCATCTCTCCAGCCTGATGCAATCTAATTAAAAAAAAAAAATCTTAGAGTTAGAATTTGATGTTTGGCTATAGCAAAGATTGAAGTCCCTATCCAAAATGAAGGTATTTTGATATCCAGTACAAAGACAAAGCGATGTTGTGTGAGCGTACATGTGAGCATGGGGGATGAAGAGGGTTCCCCAAATTCCAGGATCCACACACTGCAAACACAATTGGAGATTTCTCCCTACCACCTCCAGGAAGGCCTGCCTCCAGCCAAGGGTTTAAAGAGCTCTGGGATTGCCATGAGGGAACACCAGGCAGTTTTGAAAATCTGTTGTCATGCTTCCATATAATTGGGGGATATACTTGCTTTTTTTTTTTTTTTAAATCACATAGCTTGGGGGGGGGGTCAAGCTGGTGGCTTCGCTCCAGTTAAAAAGTGCTCTCTGTGAAGGTGTTTTCTTCTCCTGCTCCACCCTAGGACAGAAGGTTAAACAGTCTCTGACATGGGCTGGGTGAAGGCTTTACCACTGAGAGGTAGTCTCAGCTGCAGGCCCTCCAAGGAACTTTGTATATTGCCCTGTCTATGCATGTGCTAGTGAATGCTTGATAGCTTTAGTAAGAACCAGCCATCATACCAGCTGATGCTACCAAGGGTGAAGAGAACAGATTCTCTGATGCTTGTTCGATTTGGGTGGATGTTATGATCCCTGAGGTCTAAATGAGCAAGAGAGCATGCTGTTTTGACCACGGCCTTTTTGGAGGCCCCAAACCTCCGTGTCAGAAGGCCTCTGTCCAACTCATTGCATATTCTATAGGGTGGCTTCAGTCCAGCTCAACTTCTTTTGGAGTTGTCCTGACTTAGGCAATCCATGTGATATCTAGTAATTGCTCTTTTACAAATGATAACTTTTAATTTATTTTCCCACTTTTTCTAGGATGAAAGGGCTTCCCGGGTTTTGAAGTTTTTAGCATTAAACCTGGGACAGTTCTGATTAGCAGGCACAGTCGGATACCCTAGTTAGATATGAAAATGTAGAAATGACTGCAGTAAGGGGACGGGCGATGCGCTGAGAGCAAAGCAGAGAAAGCAGAAAAGGAACTTCCCTCTGGAACCCTGGAAGTGTCCACCTAGGGAGCCATCCTCACTAGGTCTTGTCAGGTCATTAAGCGGTTGCCAGGAAAGGAGCCCGAACCTGCAGTTAAAACAAGGAAGAGGAAGAGAGAAAGAGACGTTCACTCCCTAACTCAACGCATCTGTAGAACCGTGGGCTACTACAACACAGCTTGTGCTTTGCTTCAATGATAGAATCTCCTCCAAAGATCAATCTCAGAGGCTGAGTCCCAAGTCTGAAAATGTTCTTAATTTGCGTCGAGGAGAAATAAGCCAACTCCATTATTCTTTTTGTCTGAGGTTGGACTGTTTTGGTAATAAAAGCTAACTAACAACCAGCAAGTTCTTGTGTTGGCTATTGGAAAAAGACAAAAATCAAAGTAATAATAATAATAATAAAAAAAAAACGAAAGGGACACGTGACAAGACACGATCTTGGCAAGAAAGAAAGTATTGTGCCCTGACTGTACTATATGTGAACTTTAGTTCATTCCAAGTTCAACTGACCCAGGACCCTGAAGCAATTGTTAGAAGCATTAGTTAGGCACAATAATGGAATTCTGTGACCTTCCTGGGGTAGGTACAGAGTCTTACTCATATAGAGGTGCCTGGCACATGCTGGGCAGGTAGCAAATATTTGAGTAGAGATCTGGGAGGTAATTGCCCCAGGACTCTGCCCTGCCCTGGTCAAACCACACAGAATGGGTGTGGTGGTATACACCTGTGACCCTAGCACTCAGGAGGCTGAGGCAGGAGAACTGAGCACTCCAGGCTAGTCTGAGCTACATAGCAACCCCTCTTCTTCAAGAGGAAAAGAGGAAAGATCTTACTGGAGAGTTTCAGGGCAGAGTGAGCAGGACGGGCAAGGGCTCTGGAAACCTGGGACCACCGGGGAAAGCTGGGCTCTGAGCCTCTGCTGCTCTCCGTGAACAGGGTTGAGAATGCTGGTGTGCGTAGCTGTGGCTGCCTAGAAGTACAGCATGGATCTCGGCTTGTCTTCCTCTTTTGCTGGGCCCTAAAGTCCAGCTCCCATGCAGCCTGCATGCACCCCTTCCAATACAGCTAGTCAAGCAGTTCTTGCACGTCTAGGGCTGCGCGTGTGAGCTGTAACATTCCCTCGGCCATCTTTATAAAGAATGCAGTGCCACAAGGGCCCTGCTGTAGACATTTGGCAAAGTGCATGGAGATGGACTCTTTAAAAAAATTTTTTTTTTTAGATGTCTTTCTTTTCTATGTATGAGTGTTCTGCCTCCATGTGTGCGTACCACATATGTGCCTGGCACCAGAAGTGAAGGGTGGAGGCCAGAAGAGGGTATCAGATGCCCTGGAACTAGAGTTAAGTGTGGCTGTGAGCCACCATGTAGGTGCTTGGGATCAAACCCAAGTCCTCTGCAAGAGCAGCAAGGGGCTCTAAACTGCTGAGCCATCTCTTCATCCTGAGAAATAGTCTTGTATTCACTGCTCAGCACTATTGAAACAATCCAAAAAGCAAAAAATTGTTGCTCCATCTCCGGTCAGGCTGGCCACTCAAGGTGTTCAGAGAGTCGGAGACTGAGGTCAGCGGGAAACGCTGTGGTGTTTGTTGGGCCTTTTCGGGGACTGCTTTATCCACTGTGCCAGCTGCTTTCAGAGCCAGGTCGCTCATTGCACGGGGAACTCTGTGATCTCTGAAGTAGCCTGTTGAGCTCAAGAACAATTTGTCAGTCTTCAAGAAAACCAAAGTTGTTTAATTTTCCGGTTACCACCCCAGGAAGGTCAGTCAGAGTGGGAACTGGTTTGTGGTGCTAAGTGGAGGAACCAATTAAATAGGAAAGGTGTGTTGGGGTGGCCCCGGGGTGTGTCTCTGGTGTCCCATGAAAAGGTCAGGCCACATTTGCTGGTGGAATATGTTCAGGAGACACTTCTAGATAACGCCTTCTTCTGTTCCCTACCCTGTTATTTTTTTTTCCTTCTTCTTTAAATGCACTAAGAAAACAAACATACTGTGAGGTGTGTGAGACAGGAACTCTGATACCCACGGGTGGGAATGTTCGTTGGTACAACTTTTGTGGAGAGCCATTGGTAAACCAGTCTAAATTACACAGCAGATAGCCTCGCCACTGAACTTTTGACTCCAAAGAATTAGGTCTGAGATAGATATTCGCCACATATTTTGTCACCCACCATACCAAAACCCAGAAGTAACATGAACGTGCACCATCAGGGCTCGGGGGGAGATGGTCTGCACACACACACACACACACACACACACACACACACACACACCTGGGCATAGAGGATGATGGAAGTC